GAGAGAGAGAGAGAGAGAGAGAGAGAGAGAGAGAGAGAGAGAGAGAGAGAGAGAGAGAGAGAGAGAGAGAGAGAGAGAGAGAGAGAGACATCCGGCAAAACGACTCTCTCCACTACCCTCGACATGCACGAAAGACAAAAGTTATGGCGGTGTATCTTTCCATTCTAGTGCAAGATTCACTCTCGTTTTGCACATTCCCGAGAATGAATCTCCCTCTACTTTTGAGAATGAGGGCTTCGCCACACCACTCTCGAAATGTGAAAAAGACAGAAATGTGGCGAGTGCATCTGGTCATGTTCTAGCGGGAAGTTCATTCTCATTTTGCACATTTCGAGAGTGGTGCGGCGATGCCCTGAATCTTCCGCTAGAGCTTTTGAAGATACGCCACCATTTTTGTGTTGTCTTTTTTGTTTGTTTCTTTTTGGAGCGAGGCCCAAATCAAAACGGCCTGGCTCCACTACTCACCACATGTGCGATATGAGAATGAATCCTCCGCTAGAACATCGGAATATATGTGGCAAAATGAAATAAAAAGCCGACATAAAAAACAAAGGAAAAAGACCGACAGAAAAAAAGAAAAAAAAAGAGGGAATAAAATGCAGACAACGACAAACAAAAAGGCAAATTGACAACTCAAAAAAAAAAGAAAAAGAAAAAAAAAGAAACGACGGGCGATTCTTATCGAACGACGGACGCTTCAAGATATTTGTCCACATCAACGCCTATCGTGTGCCCCGCCCCCAGGGCGTGCTCTCTCGCTTAATGGCGTGCTGTGAACATTTCGGTTCACACACCCCTCTGCACGCTCCCCCGCCCTCGATCGCCTTCATCCGGCGGCCCTCACCAAAACTTCAACCCGAATCCGGCGCACAGCAAACAGTAGACCTTCCCCCCACGGGCAATACTGCTTAAGGTGTAGGATTAATGAACTTATTGAGATGACATCCAAGATAGTGCACAAACTCGAATGCAAAACTCAATACATCAAGGTCGAACAGGAATTGGAAGACAGTGAAGGAACTGGATCCCCATCAGATTCAAGCGATCGTGGACAAGGAACTTGCTGACAAGTACGATCACAAGTGCAACCCAGCCTGTCACAGAGTAGCTGTCAACATAGGGGGGCTGGAGCAGGGGGGAGTGTGTGTGTGTGTGTGTGTGTGTGTGTGTGTGTGTGTGTGTGTGTGTGTGTGTGTNGTGTGTGTGTGTGTGTGTGTGTGTGTGAGTGTGTGGTGAGGGGGGGGGGTGGTTACTGCCACCACGACAACCCCTTCTACAGCAAGATGGGAAGATCCCAAACTGACACAACTTTGCCTCACATATCTAACAAGTAGTTAGAGATGGGGAACGTCTCTGTCGACAAGGCACCTGTCACAGCCGATCTGACCGTGAATGTGTCGATGATGAGGATGATGACAAAGGGGAGGAATGGAAGGATTAGGGGGAGGAGGCGAATGACAACATAGACGAGGAGGGAGTTGACAGAGAGGATGATTTAGAAGAAGATGTAGGTGAAGGGGCTGGTGGTGATGGTGGTGGAGGCACACTGTCAGCAGCGGCCGCAATGGTAGGGGACGCAGGCTGTTTGTGGACGTGGTGGTGGTGGTGGTGGAGGGGGGGGGGGGGTGTAATAGATCCCAACTTGAAACAGCCTTACCTAATAATCTTCTAACAAGTTATAGGTGACATTTTGAATGAGTGCAATCACTGAAGTGTTGCGATGGTAATGTTTCCGTGAAACGACCATTTCATTATTGTATTCTGAGAGGTGCAAGGTCCACCATATGCGTAAACTCCCATTTGGTTTTCAGCACATCTGCACCTCTGTGTGTGTGTGTGTGTGTGTGTGTGTGTGTGTGTGTGTGTGTGTGTGTGTGTATGACGGCATACATGCAAAAGGGGCAGTCAGACAACGCCAAACGACTGATACCACCCCTTAGCCCCTGCCAAACAACCCCAAATACCCCCTGTCCCCGCCCATAGCAGAAACAGCCATATCAGATACACACCTAATAGCCATTAGACCCAATGCTATCCCACAAATACACCTCTCCGGACAGCTCCCACACAACCTCCTCAACCAATCTTTAAACACCTCAGCTATACCATCCAAACACTCCCCAAGCAAGCCAACTTGGACTCCCTCATACACAACCACCCCCTCTCTTCTCCTCTGTAATCTCCCCTCAAACGTTCACTGAGCTATCCCCAACGTCCTCCTTTGACCCCTAAAGCCCTGCAAACTCCCTGCCACTGCCTGGTCACTTCACTCAGGAACTCAGCAAGGATTACAATAGTTATCATACCTTATTACCTTGCTGCAGGGAGTGGCATAAATGCCTTTTTCTTTTCTTTTTTTTTTCCCTTTTTTTCCTTTTTTTTTGGGTAAAAAACCCTTGGAGGTGCTAGAGGTGTTGATGAGAGCAATCACCGTTAGCACTCCACAAGAGAGACTCGACCTATTGGTGGGGATCATCACCTGCTGGATACAGGCCACACAAGATAGAGGTGAAACCTGTGAAACACATACTTCTCACTCGTTCGATGAAAGAACATAGCATCAGCTATGATGAAAAGTTTTCAAACCAAGACTAGCGTCAAGTTTTAGAGTTTTTCAAGGAGGTGGGAAGGCTTACTTGTTTCTCCTGCTGCAAGGCATGGGGAACATCAGATATGATGATAGGTAGCTATGCGTGCAGGGGTCCCCTGTATAGGCTTAGGAGTAGTGGTAGGTAGATAGTGAAAGGTGAAATTGAGAGAAAAATATAGCTTAGTAACCTTTGCAGTAAACCGCGTTCAGCAGCGGCCTGGGCGCTGTAACCCAAGCCCAGGCCCAGCGAGCAGTGCGACCACGCGCTGCTCGGCCTCAGGCCGCTGCGGGTGCTGTGTGACCACGCACAGCAAGAAATTCAAAGGTCAAAGTGAACTGTAGGTCCAGGTACCTCGCCCAGGCCCTTGGTCGTGTGCATTGACTTGTATGTGTGCAGGTACCCAGTCAGAACGGTGGACCAAGGAGGATACAGTTTCAACTCAATCCAGGCAGTCGACGACAATCGATCTCGGCCGTGTCTGACTTGAGGACTGGGGCCCAGACCCCGCCGTCAACACTACATATTGGGCTGACTTCCTGGCTTTTGTATCTAGACTCTCGTCCGGAGTCTAGGGGGGACTCGACGCTCTCGCGTCAACGCCGGCTCTATGCTGTCTTGCTGGCGAGACGCTGCGGGGAGAACTTGACGACCGGCGCTCGTCGCTGGTTCGTGGCTTGAGTGTGCTGTGCGACCAGCATGCTGGCTGGCGCACTACTGTCTGAGGGGTTGTCGACGTGGCAGATGCCACGTGTCATCCTCGTGGCTGCTGCCACGTAGTATTGCTGCTGAGGTGGAAGGCGTTGGGCGCCTGTATTGCTGTTCTGCTTGACAAGTACTCGGAAGGAGGATTCAGGACTGTGGTTGGGGTCGTGATACGTACCTGGTGTCTTCAACTTCGTCGTCACGCTGCTGCTTAATGACTGGTCTGCTGGTGCCACGTGGCACTATTGGACTACATTGTCTTGGATGTCCGGATCTCTGATTGAGATACGATTATGCTGCTAGGAGGAGGAAGTGCCCGAAGAGTAAGTGGGCTGAGGGGAGGAGACTCTTCCACCCTCTCAAAGTCTATTCTCCCTCCTCCCTCTCTCGTCTGTGTATGCATTCTCTCTCATTTTGGGATTATTATTATTATGATTTATTAGCAGCGTTCGTCTATTTTGTCTTTGTAAGTGACGACAGATTATCACGACTGGGCACATTGCAATTAAAAAAATAAAAAATAAAAAAAATTGAGTTCTGGACCTTCTGGTCCTGGAAGGAAAGGGGGAAGGACTTACTTCCATTCGCTGCGCCAAGGCCTCCAGATGGCAGGTCCAGACGATGGACAGCTGCGATCGCCTGGAGTACATCTCTGCCCAATAAAGTCTCCAGGTTGCTAGTGACGGGCACCATGCCAGTGACCCCAAGCTGAAAGATCAGACCCTTTGGATTTTTTGACGGGGAGAAGAATTCTGCCTGAAATTCGCCCATCCGACTCAAGTCTTCCAGCACAGAAACAGTCTTTTCCCTGATGGTATCCGCCAGTCCAATTCTTGTCATGATAAGGTCATTGGGAATCGTCAACCAGCTGCAAAAACGACAGACCATGCACACAACTGCAACCGTCAAGCAACTGGATTTGTAAAATTGTAAGCTTTTTTTTTTTTTTTTTCATCAAAACAACTCCGCAAGGCCCCTTCTATTCTGGGGGGCATCCGTCCGGTTGCTTATTACCGACAAGCATGAATGTACAAATGATAGAGAGAGAACAAAAGACAGCCTTGTCCTTGTGGCACTAGACACCTGTGCAACGGGAAGACTGCTGTGAGTCGAACCCCCCCCCCCCGCCCTCCCTCCAGCCCTGTCCTTCCCTCAAGGGGTGCTTTAGCTGGCCGGGAAGATTACTGGCAGAACCCAGTCACGCAGCAGAAGGATCACAAGGGAGGCATGGTGCAGGTGCAGGGGG